CAAGTCTGACCGTGAGCAATTTGAGAAAACCCTGAGCCAGGAACTGCACAAGCCCGTCCTGGAGGGCAGTGGCCGCTTGGGGCTGCCCAGGTCGCAGGTGCCAGGTGCTCGGCGCGCGCTCCCACGTCCCAGAGCCGGCAAAGAAGGATTAAGCCCCAGGTCCCGCACCGCGACGCGGGCTGCAGCGCTCAAACCTCGCGAGATTTGCTAGTCAGGCCAATTACCGGGGCCCGTCCGCCCTCTCCCACATCTCGCGATACCAAGGCGCAAAAGTGGCTTTCGACCCGTTAGGCTTGCGGGGAAGATGGAGTACTCCGCGTTGGGTACTGTGGAGACCGCGGACGACCGCGGGGCCGGGCCTAGGCACAGCTCGGAGGAGCGGGAGGGCCGGGAGCCGGACGGGGTACGCTTCGACCGCGAGCGGGCGCGCAGCCTGTGGGAAGCCGTGTCTGGTGCCCAGCCGGTGGGGAGGGAGGAAGGTGAGTCCGCGCGGGCTCCGGAGGCGGGGAGCCCCCCAGCCCGCCGGCCCGGCTCGCGGGGAGTGGCGGAAGCGCCGTCCGGGCTCGCGGCCCGGCCCCCGGGCCTGCGGTCACACCCCCTGGCCCGCCTCCCCGCGTGACGCGCCCCGGGACTCCCGGAGTCGTGCTCCGCTTCCGGCCCGGAAACGCCGGGAGCCAGGCCGCGCGCGCCGAGGCCCGGCGCGTTTTCCCTTCCTCCTCCGCCCGACGGAGCCCAGTTTTTCCCAGGCTCGAGGACTGTAACCCCTATTCGCGCTCTTTCGGAGACCCAGGGGGGTCCCTCGCCATTTCTCCCTGACTCCCCGTCGTCCCAGTCTCCGGACTCCCCACCCCTACCCCGAGTCTCTTGCCCCCCGTTCTTTCAAGCCCCACGCTTCCGAGGACTCTAGAAGGCCTTCTCCGTACCCCTGTGACTGAGCCCCGGTTTACCCCTATTTCTAGCTGTCTGACCTCTACTTGTTGGGGCCCTGTTGTAAGGTGCGGGCCAGGAGCCTGAGAATCTGGCTGGCGGGGTGGGGACCCTGCAGCCTCAAGGCCACACGCGGCTTTCTAGAGGCCCAAGTGTGGCCCCTCGACCAAATTGACAAATGGCCCTGTGAAGTTTGGATTCGGTCAAAAGGCTGCACTCAAGGATCCGGAAGCCCACGTGTGGCTCCAAGGCAGCAGGTTCCCCACCGCTCTGTGCCTTGGCTCCAGTTTCTCTGTATCCCACCCACACTTGACCCGAAGCTGTGGCGAACAGTGTGCACAAGGGCCACATCAGGGTCACTCCTGAGCTGAAGCTTGCCCTGCATTTGACCTGAGACTGGGTTAGATGAGAGCTAGAAAAGAAGAATGGAAAGAGCCCGACTGACCTGCTTGTGTGACCCCCCTTCACAGTCCTTTGCAGAGCTAGCTACTCAACACCAACCTATGTGTACAAGAACTACAACTGGGCTTTCGTGCTAATCCTGTCAGGTATCTGCCAAGATTTCTCGAGTGGTCTGTTTTGCTTGCTGGGCAGACTATCTTGGGAAGTTTAACAAGTTGTTTGAGAACTGACTGTCCTGGATAAAATTGAATTTCCTACCATATCCAAGGAAGATATGTTTAAATTTAAAGTGTTACACAGACCTATATCCTTGTGTATATTTCTCCAGTTTAAAAACAAGTTTAGGCCGGGCACGGTGGCTCACACCTGTAATCGTAGCACTTTGGGAGGCCGTGGCGGGATCGCTTGAGGTCAGGAGTTGGAGACCAGTTTGAGCAAGAGAGAGACCCTATCTCTACTAAAATTAGAAAAAATTAGCCTGGTGTGGTGGTTCAAGGCTGTAGTCCCAGCTACACAGGAGGCTGAGGCAGGAGGATCGCTTGACCCCAGGCGTTTCAGGTTGCTGTGAGCTAGGCTGACACCACAGCACTCTAGCCCAAGTGACAGAGCAAGATTCTGTCTAAATAAAAAATAAAAATAAGTCTAGCCTGACTCCTAGTTAATATATATACTATTTCTGGGCCCCTGTCTCTCTCCTACTTTCCAACTTGTTTCATTCAAAATTTCCTTCCACTACCTCAATTTTCCTTTCATTAATTTGACAGACGTTCACTGATGCCTGCTCTGTTCCTAGAACTGGCTGGGCATCAGAGCTACAGAGATGAGGAAGACACTCTCCTTGCCCTGGATGGGTTTGCAGTCTAGTCCAGGAAGTGGACACCAAACAGTTCCAGTATAATATAAGGGATGCAGTGAAGAGGGTTGTCTAAGAGTTGGGGATACAGGTCAAAACTGCCGTGCTGATCAGTAGTGGGATCGTGCCTGTGAATAGCCACTGCACTCCAGCCTGGGCAACATACTGAGACCCTGTCTCTAAAAAAAAAAGTAAAATAAGAGTTGGGGATACACAAAAAGGAAGTGATCTTTGGCCTGGGAGGACAGGGAAAGCATGCCCTGGACCTTGAAGAAGAGAACACAGCAACTGTGCTCTGAAAAGTGAACTGTCTGCTTATGTTTATATGCATGTACAATGTATCACCCAGTTCATTTCCCTGCTCTCCTCACTTCTCCCACATTTATATGAGGTCTAGGTGGGTACCTAGACTAAATTCACTGTTTTTTTTCCTGTTAACCACCTTCATTGAGTTATAACTTACATACCACAAAATTCACCCATCGTAAGCACACTGTGGTTTTTATTAAAATTATAGAGCTGTGTAACCATAACCACAATCCAGTTTTAGAACATTTCTGTCACCCCAATTAGTGCCTTTGCTCCTTTGTGCTAAATCCCCACTCCTACAACCGCTTTAGGCAACCATTGATCTGTTTTCTGTCTGTATAAACTTAACCTTTTCTGGATATCACACATAAATAGAATGATACAATTTGGTTTGACTTCTCTTAGCATGTTTTTGAGGTTCAGCCAAGTCATAGTGTTTATTAGTATGTCATTTCTTATTGCTAAATAGAATTCCATTGTATGAATATACCACATTTTGTCTACTCATGAGTTGTAGACATTTGAATTGTTTCTGGTTTGGAGCTCTTGTGAATAATGCTGCTATGAACATTCATGCTCAAATTTTTATATGGACATATATTTTATTTATCTTGAGTATATCCCTAGGAGTAGAATCGTAGAATTGCTGTGTCCTATAATAACTATCCCAAGTGACTGGGACTACAGGTGCACACCATGTCACCTGGCTAATTTTTTCTATTTTTAGTAGAGACAAGGTCTCAAACTCCTGAACTCAGGCAATCCTCCTGCCTTGGCCTCCAGAGTGCTAGGATTACAGACTGTGAGCCAGTGCGCCTGGCCTACATGCAGAGATTCTTTAATTTGCAGTTGCATAAAAGAAAAAAGCTTTGTCTAAAAGCTTGGAGTCAGTAGAAAGGAATGTTTAAGTTAAGTAATTCTGTTAATCATAAACTATCGTATACTTGGTCAAAGTGACCAGTTAAGCAAAATTGATGGGCTACAGGCATGACTTAATCCTTGTCTTGCTTGGCTTTAGGTCTTGTTTATTTATAATTTGGTATCTTATTGCTAAAAAGAGTGTGTTTTGTCAGTCTTATAATCTCTATTTTAACATTAATACTGGTCAGTTATTGTGTCTAAACTCCAAAAAAGGAAGTGGTATAACTAGACATGTCCAACTTCCCATCCCATCATGGCCAGGAAATCAGTTTTTAAGGTTTCTCTGGGGTCCCCTTGGCCAAGAGGGGCGACTGTTGGAAGGGAGGGGCTTGGGATTTTATTTTTAGTTTATATTATCAAAAGAGAATAAAATGTACTGTACTGGACTTGCACTACAATTTTGTGGGTTTTTTTGTTTTTGTTTTTTTTGACACAAGTTCTCTCTCTGTTGCCTAGGCTAGAGTGCAGACGTCATTGTAGCTCCCTACAACTTCAAACTCCTGGGCTCAAGCGATCCTCCTGCCTCAGCCTCCAAAGTAGCTAGGACTTCAGGTGTGTACCACTACCCCTAGCTAATTTTTCTACTTTTTATAGAAATTGACATCTCACTACATTTCCCATGCTGGTCTTGAACTCCAGGCCTCAAGCAATCCCACTTGGGCCTCCCAAAGTGCTGGGATTATAGGTATGAGCCACCACACCTGGCCCCACTGCAATTGTGAATAAAAGTGGCAAGAGTAAACATTTTATCTCAGGGGAAAAGAATTCAGTCTTTCACCATTAAATAAACATTTTAGGTCTGGGCTTTTCTTTTTTTTTTTTTTTTTAAATAAGAAATTGTTACTAAAAGCTTGTTGGGCTTTTCATAGGTGCCTTTACCAGGTTGAGGAAGTTCCCCTCTGTTCCTAGTATTAGAAGCTTTTACGATGAGTGAGTGTTGAATTTTCTGGATCCTCTTTCTCTCTGCGGTGAGGTCATCATAAGGTGGTTGCCCTTCATTCTTGAGGGCATTCATTGCAGGCCTTCTGGGTGCCCCTAAGCATGGAAATAAAGGAAAATCTTGAGTCCCTCCAGGGAAAGTTCCAGACATCTAAGCAAGCCAGAGTCATGAGGCATTTGGGTTACCTATGGAATCTAAAAGAGATAGCATCTTAACATACGTTCTTGAGTTTGTTTTTCAGAACAACCCCCCCACCACCACCAGATGGAAAATGCAAATAAGACAGAACAGAGGAATTGAACTCTGATGGTTATTCTTCCCCCACCCAGCATATTATGGGGGTACAGATTTTAAGGTTTCAATAAATGCCCTTTCCCCCCCCTCCCCCCACTCTGATGGCTATTCTTTGTTCTAAATTTTTTCAGGGGAGAGGAGCTGTTGGGGGGAGGGGGGGAGAGTTGGAGAGAGCCACACCCATCTTAACATTCCTTTCCCTTAATCCAAGAATCTCTGAATCCACCTAGGACCCATAGGCACCTACCCCACTTCAGGATATCCACCTTTTGGGGCCAGGCTGATTTATAATCTCCACATGCTGATTTACAGTATTCCCTGCCACCTCTTCTTCCCTGAAATGTACCCCTACCTTTAAAAACCCTTGCTTTTAAACCATCGGGGTCTTAAACGTTAGCTGCCTGTTCTTGCATGGCACCATTCTGTAAAAAGGCCTCTTTCTCCTGCTGCGGCTCTCGGCTTCAGTGTCTGGTTTTGCTACATCAGGCAAGTGGCCCCCAGTGTGGTTCAATAACATTCTCTTAATATGATGTATTACATTAATTAATTTTCATATGTTAAATCATTAAGACTTTTGTGTCTGTGTTCATAAGAGGTAATAGTCTATGAAAAAAGAAATATTCTTTGGTAATATCTTTACCTGGCTTTAGTCAGGTAATACAAGTCTCATAGAATGAGTTTGGAAGTGTTTCCTCCTCATCTACTTTGTGAAGGATTAGTAATAGTTCTTCTTACAATATGTTATAGAAGTGAACAGTGAAGCTGCCTGAGCTTTTCTTTGTGGGAAGAGTTTTATTAATTCAGTTTCTTTACTTGTTTTCACATTTTTTTGTTTCTTCATAAGTTACTGTGGTCATTTGTGTCTTTCTGGAAACTTGTTCATTTCATCTAAATTATCTGATTTGTTGGCATAAAATTTTTCATAATATTCCCTTACAATCCTTTAAATTTCTATAGGTTGGTAGTGGTGTGTCCTCTTTCATTCCTGATTTTGGTAATTTGTGCCTTCCCTAATTATGTCCTTGGTTAGTCTAGCCTAAGGATTTGTGAGTTATTTGATCTTTCCTAGTTTCTAAGGTAGAAGCTTATGTTGCTGATTTGAGACCATTGTTTTCTGAGGTAGATGTTTAAAATTATAAATCTCTGGCCTGGTGCAGTGGCTCACACCTGTAATCCCAGCACTTTGAGAGGCCAGGGCATTAGGATCACTTGAGGCCAGGATGTTGAGACCAGCCTGATCAACATAGTAACATACTATCTCTACAAAAAATTTAAAAATAAAATTAAAATTGAAACAATTATAAACTTCTGTCTTAAGCACTTGTGATATTATGAGATACTTATTTATTTTTTCTCCCTCGAGGTTCCTGGCCCACAGCTTCTATAATCCTTGTAATTTCTTAAGTGACTAGACCGATTAGAGTACCTTTATTTTTTGTATTTGGCCTTTTATCCTTGCTCCAGAGCAATAAAGGTGAAGAATAGCTTATGTTTCTTATAACAAGCCCCTTTCAACCACATCCGAGTATAGGCTAATGGGGGATTTTGGGAAAGTCTCTAGATAACGACAGTCTGAGAGACTAGTTGCAAGGGAACCATCCACATGCTTAGAGGGTTGGAACTCACAGCCCGCCATCTCCAGGGAGAGGAAAGGGGCTGAAGGTTGAGTAATTACCAATAGCCAATGATTTAATCAACCATGCCTATGTAATGGAGCCTCCATAAAAACCTAAAAGGATTGAATTTAGGGGCTTCCAGGAAGGCAAACAAGAACACATCCATGTTCCTGGAAGGTGGCACACTCCAATTCCACAGGGATGGAAGTTTCC